AATTAGAAGTACATAAATGAATAGAAATGAATGATTTTCAAATCATTATGATCCTTTAAAAAATAATGTGTGTATTTATACTTGTATATATGATCAAGGATTTCCTGTCTTGTTAGTTGATGAAAGCAATTTTATGAGAAGGATGTGGAATAAGAATTCAGGCAGGATTCCTATTTGTTTAGGATTGTTTTTTTAACTGTGGAATTCCCATTTAGAAGATCTTTGGCTTTGTTGATTGCTTGCTGCAGTGGATTAAAACCTTAAGGTTCTAAGGATGTCTTTCCTAGCCTACAGTCATTGTCACAGTACTTGGGAAACCCTAGGAGATTTTTTGTGAATTTTAGGCAAATAGAAGTGAGTACAGCCACAAAAGATTGCCAATATTGACAGGAAATTAAAGAAAAAAAGATTATAGTGTTCAAAAAAGGTGGCATTATTATGAAGCTAATGAATAAAACCCAACTGTTGACCCCTATTCACTTGAAAAATGATTTGATTTTTTTCTTTAAAATCATCTGTATTGAAGTATAATTTACATTACGTTCATTTCAAGTATATAGTTTCAGTTCAGTTCAGTTCAGTCATTCGTGTGTGACTCTTTGCAACCCCATGGACTGCAACACACCAGGTTTCCCTGTCCAGCACCAACTCCTGGAGCTTGCTCAGACTCATGTCCATCGAGTCGGTGATGCCATCCAACCATCTCATCCTCTGTCGTCCCCTTCTCCCCTGCTTTCAGTCTTTCCTAGCATCAGGGTCTTTTCCAGTGAGTCAGTTCTTCCCATCAGGTGGCCAAAGTATTGGAGTTTCAGCTTCAGCATCAGTCCTTGCAGTGAATATTCAGGACTGATCTCCTTTAGGATGGACTGGTTGGATCTCTTTGCAATCCAAGGGGTCTCAGGAATCTTCTCCAACAACCACAACTCAAAAGCATCAATTCTTCGGCACTCAGCTTTCTTTATTGTTCAACTCTCACATCCATACATGACTACTAGAAAAACCATTGCTTTGACTAGACTGACCTTTGTTGGCAAAGTAGTGTCACTGCTTTTTAATATGTTGTCTAGGTTGGTCATAGTTTTTTTCCCAAGGAGAAAGCATCTTAATTTCATGGCTGCAGTGATTTTGGAGTCCACCAAAATGAAGTCTCTCACTGTTTCCACTGTTCCCCATCTATTTGCCATGAAGTTATGGGACCAGATGCCATAATCTTTGTTTTTGACTGTTGAGTTTTACACCAGCTTTTTCACTCTCCTCATTCACTTTCATCAAGAGGCTCTTTAGTTCCTCTTTGCTTTCTGCCATTAGGGTTGTGTCATCTGCATGTCTGAGGTATTGATATTTCTCCTGGCAATCTTTATTCCAGCTTGTGCTTCATCCAGCCCGGCATTTCACATGATGTACTCTGCATATAAGTTAAATAAGCAGAGTGACAATATACAGCCTTGACGTACTCCTTTCCCAATTTTAGTCCAGTCTGATGTTCCATGTATGGTTCTATTGTTGCTTCTTGACCTGCATACAGAATTCTCAGGAGTCAGGTAAGATGGTCTGGTATTCCCATCTCTTTAAGAATTTTCCACGTTTTGTTGTGATCTACACAGTCAAAAGCTTTGTGTAGTCTGTGAAGCAGAAGTAGGTATTTTTCTGGAATTCTCTTGCTTTTTCTATGATCCAGCGGATGTTGGCAATTTGATCTTGGGTTCCCCTGCCTTTTCTAAATCCAGCTTGAACATCTGGAAGTTTTTGGTTCATGTGCTGTTGAAGCCTGCTTGGAGAATTTTGAGCATTACTTTGCTAGAGTGTGAGATGAGTGCAATTATGAGGTAGGTTGAGCATTCTTTGGCATTGCCTTCCTTTGGGATTGGAATGAAAACTGACTTTTTCCAGTCCTGTGGCCACTGCTAAGTTTCCCAAATTTGCTGGCATATTGAGTGCAGCATTTTCACAGCATCATCTTTTAAGATTTGAAATAGTTCAGCTGGAATTCCATCATCTCCACTAGCTTTGTTTGTGGTGATGCTTCCTAAGGCCCACTTGACTTAGCACTCCAGGATGTCTGGCTCTAGGTGAATGATCACACCATCGTGATTATCTGGGTCATTAAGATCTTTTTTGTATAGCTCTTCTGTGTATTCTTGCGACCTCTTCTTAATATCTTCTGCTTCTGTTAGGCCCATACTGTCTCTGTCCTTTATTGTATAGTTCTATCATTTCAAGCATATAGTTTAAGTTTTGACAAATGTATGTACTTGTGAACCACCATTCAAATCAAGGTGTAGAACATTTCCATCAGAGCACAAAAATACCCTCATTCCCATTTGCTCTTAGTATCTCTCCATCCCAGGTAATCACTGATCTGCTTTCTGACACTACAGATAGATTTTGCCTGTTAAATTACATGTATATGGAATTATACTATGTGCAGTCTTTTGTGTCATAAAACTACCTATTTTTAGGAATTTAATCATTTTATAAAATGTATAATGCTGATATGCAGATGACACAACCTTACATATCTCAGATATGGATGATACCACCCTTATGGCAGAAAGCAAGTAAGAACTAAAGAGCCTCTTGATGAAAGTGACAGAGGAGAGTGAAAAAATTGGCTTAAAGCTCAACATTCAAAAAATGAAGATCATGACATCTGTTCCCATCACTTCATGGCAAATAGATGGGGAAACAATGGGAACAGTGACAGACTTTATTTTCTTGGGCTCCCAAATCACTGTATTTGGTGACTGCAGCCATGAAATTAAAGACGCTTCCTTCTTGGAAGAAAATCTATGACCAATCTAGACAGCATATTAAAAAGTAGAGACATTGCTGACAAAGGTCAGTCTAGTCAAAGCTATGGTTTTCCTAGCAGTCATGTTTGGATGTGAGAGTTTTTGGACCATAAAGAAAGCTGAGTGCCGAAGAATTGATGCTTTTGAGCTGTGTTGTTGGAGAAGACTCTTGAGAGTCCCTTGGACCACAAGGAAATCCAGTCTGTTCTTTGTAAAGGGGATCAGTCCTGAATATTCATTGGAAGGACTGATGCTGAAGCTGAAACTCCCAATACTTTGGCCACCTGATGGGAAGAACTGACTCACTGGAAAAGACCCTGATGCTGGGAAAGATTGAAGGCAGGAGGAGAAGGGAATGACAGAGGATGAGATGGTTGGATGGCATCACCGACTCAATGGACATGGGTCTGAGGAAGCTCCAGGAGTTGATGATGGACAGGGAACCCTGGCGTGCTGTAGTCCATGGGGTTGCAGAGAGTCGGACATGACTGAACAGCTGAACTGAACTGAATCATTTTATTGTTGAATAGTTTTCTAATATATGAATAAGCCACAAGCTTTTCTCTCTCTACTTGCTGATTGACATTAAGGTTATTTCCAGGTTTGGCTATTTTGAATAAAACTGCTTTGGACATTTGTGTCCAGTTGTTTGTGCAGACATATATTTTATATTTTCATTTCTCTTGGTGTAGAATTGTGGGTCATAGGATTTTTGAATGTTTAACTTTATAAATAACAGCCAGTTTTCCAAAGTGTTCCATTTTTTACCTTCACCAGCAGTGTGTCAGAGTTTAAATTATTTCTTGTCCTACTAACGTTTGAGCCCCTTTTTTGGGGGGAGGAGCAAGAATACTGGAGTGTGTTGCCATTCACTTCTCCAGGGGGATCTTCCTGACCCAGGGGTTGAACCCGGGTCTCCCGCATTGTAGGCAGATGCTTTACTGTCTGAGCCATCGGGGAAGTCAAAGCATCTGCCTGCAATGCGGGAGACCCAGGTTCAATCCCTGGGGTGGGAAGATCCCTGGAGAAGGAAATGGCAACCCACTCCAGTATACTTGCCTGGAAAATTCCATGGATGGAGGAACCTGGTGGGCTACAGTCCTCGGGGTCGCAAAGAGCTGGACAGGACTGAGGGACTTCACTTTCACTTTTCTAACATTTGGAGGTTGGCTAATTAAAAACTTTGGTTCATATTCTTTAAGCAGAAATTATGTTATATGCAGACTTTTATGGCAATTATGAAAGTCAATTTGTTAGTTGATTATGAAAGTTATGGCAGTTGATTTAATTCTAAAAGTTTACTAGTGATAGCTAATATGTTATCCTTTACATCTCCTTTGTGCCAAGTACCATGTTAATGAGTTTATTTTTTCATAGATGATAATCCCTAATCCTTAAAATGGTTCCAGAAAATAGAATGTGTTATCTTTATTTAGTGGATAGGAATACTGGACTAGTAGATTTAGTCTTAAGATTTTGGTTCTGAGTTTGATTCTAAAACTTGAGATTTCTTTGCTTAATTTTATTTTAGTATTTTGGTCTTTTCTTTTATAGAGGACAGTTAGAATGAGTATGATTTCAGCTATCATGGTCCTTTGTGTTTGGAGTCTCCAAACTGAACTGAGAAAGGTCTAAAAAGAACTAGAAGTTGCCCCAGGGAAAAATAAAGGATTTGAAATGTTTTCTGTGTGTGTATGTATATATGTGTGTGTTTCTCTTTCTGTGTCTGTAGGAAAGAGTATGCATACTTACTTTTCTGAGAGGAGATGTTAAGTATGTAATTAGATGACACTTTTGTATGTATTATCTGAATTGTGGATAAGAGGAGAAAATGGCAAAGCTGTGGAATTACTAGAGAGGAAAGACAGGTAGTGGTGAAAAACAGTAATTGGGTCAAGAAGCTTGTTTTTATCTTCAAGCACGTTAGTTGCCCTCAGAATGATCTTGTTTCACCATATAGGAATCAGCCTATAGGCATTTATTTTTTAATATATTCCTAGATGATTACTGATTATTTGTATGTGAGTTGTATCAGTGTTACATTGAATTTTAGATCAGAATTTTAATGAGAAAATTGGTCAGTTATTTCCCAAATAGACAGGTTTTGTGGAACAGTCCACATTTTGCAATTTCCTTTATTAAAAAAAATAATTGTTTAAATTTGGATCCTTTTAATTTCGTTTTTTTCCTTTCCCACCCTGTTTGCAGACATTTCAACCTACGAATGAAGAGGGATACTTCCCTTTTCAGTGAGGAATTTAGGGTGGAAACATCAAATGCAGTACTTGATTATGATACTTCTCATATTTACACTGGACATATTTATGGTAAGTTGAACCTTAAAGAACCCTGATTTTTTTTCTACACAAGAAAATTTGTGTATTTTGAAGTATAGGCAAATATTTCAGAAAGATGGTGTAAATCCTGGGCAGATTTGACTGTATCATGAAGAACAGTGGTCTTTGAAGGATGAAGTAATTCTTGAATCAACTTTTACATATATATTTAGTATTGAATTATGTAGTATCTGGCTTTGAAAATGTATGAAGTTTTGATTCTTTCATTACCTCCAAACTGCTACGTATTTTTAAAAAGTTTAATGATTTGTATAATTTTTCTGATTTTCCATGAAAGAAATTAACAGTAACTTAACTGTGTTTTATAAGAGAAGTCTCCATTGAAACTGTAAAATGTAAAAAGTCTTTCATGGGAAAGTCCTCTGAAGGCCTTCCTTCCTCAGAACCTATTTGCTTTTTGTTCACAATTCTAACGACTTTCTCTTACTACACCAGATTTAAAAAGATATTAGGGAGATGAGGGCACACTTACTAGTTCAATGGAAAACTACATTTATCAGCTTAGTAATGAAGGAAGAACAGAACAATTTATGGAAGCTGTAAAAAGCTAAAATATCAAAGTCTTCTGGGGGTATTACAGACAAAATATCATGGAATTATAGCTGTACATTAGTAAATACTCAAGATGATCCTCATTTATTAAGACTTATTAAAGTTAACGGAAACTTAAATTTCATTTCTACATAGTAGAGAGATTTCCCCTCAAATCTTAACTTGAAAAATTAAACACTTTGAGAAAGGTTTCTTTTTTTTTTTTTTTTTATGAGGGTAAATGAGGTTTTTTTGTACTTAAAATTTCTCATTTGTAGATTGAGCACAGTTAATAAATTTAAAGTTTTTTGTACTGTTATAATTGTGTAATAGAAAAGTAAAGTGTTTTTCCATTGATCAAGATTTCTAATGTTATAGTTTTTTTTTTTTATTATTTTCTTAATAGTTTATCTTGCTGGGTAAGTAGCTTAGTTAGTCCTCCCACCCCCTTTATTTTGCTAGGTGATAGTCGAGAAGTATGACAAAATGAGTTTGTAGATAAATGTCGTATCATTTAAAATGCAAATGTCTTGGACTCAGCTTCAGTCTGTGATTAAAGTCAACTAATTAGTGCTAATCTACAACTTAGAAATTGAAAAAAAAACTTATGTTTAGAATTTTTTTTAGTTGTGTTTGTGTATATTCATAATTGTGTAACTTTTAATTGTTAGTATCTGAGAAAGTTACACATTATGGTGAATAAAAGAGAAAGCCATACAAAGTCAGAAAATAAAAGCTAGACCTCAGCTTTGTTTCAGTGAGAAAATTTTAAATGGTAATTTAAACTTCATAGACCCCTCCTACTTCCCACCTCTTATCATTTGATGTTTTGTGACTATTAAAAACCAAAACTACTTTCTTTTTTGTTATTTTCTTTCCCTAAAGAAGTATCATTGATGAGACACTATCACAAACTTCCAGTATCTTGAAAAGAATTACTGGTATACTTCTAAAATTTTTAACACTCTTCTATTTTGAAAATGTATTTCTAAAACCCAGTTGTGCTAAGGAAGCCAAGACGCTCATGCAGAATATATTAGGTGGGAGAGAACTTTTTTTTTTAATGACAATTAGAGCAGAAATTCAAAATATACTTTAATGTCTTTATTTTGAAATTATGTATTTTATACTTGTATTTTAACAAAGAGCTGTTAAATGTGTGTATTTTAACAAAGAGCTACTTGTCTCTTTCTAAGTTTATTTAGCCATCATTTATTCAATGACTATTGCATACATGCCAGGCTCTGTTGCTTGGTGCTAGGAATTTGATTGTTGGCAAGACAGATGTTCCATATTTCATTGTTTTTATGTATATATATATTATTATATATACAAATATATAATATATATTTACTAAGTTCTAGTTGTTCACATTTAGGTTGATATATTTCATGTGAAAATTAATTTCTCTGGTAAATTTGTATTTGGTTTTTTACAACACATAAGAATGGCTTTTTAAAGGAGAATGAATTTAACATTCATGTGCAAATTGAATTTTTTTTTTTCATTTATTTTTGTTAGTTGGAGGCTAATTACTTCACAATATTGTAGTGGTTTTTGTCATACATTGACATGAATTAGCCATGGATTTACATGTATTGCAAATTGAATTTTTTAAGAGTTTGTTGCTTTCATTAATAGGTGAAGAAGGAAGTTTTAGCCATGGGTCTGTTATTGATGGAAGATTTGAAGGATTCATTCAGACTCACGGTGGCACCTTTTATGTTGAGCCAGCAGAGAGATATATTAAAGACCGAACTCTGCCATTTCACTCTGTCATTTATCATGAAGATGATATTAGTAAGTACTTAATTTTGCAAAAGCATATAAATAGTTAAAACTATGTGGAGACAAATGAAATCTGAGCTGTTTTCTTTCCTAAGCTATTAATCAGACTAGAAAATAGGTTCACAACCAAAATCTCAGTTAAATGATAGATTTATATAGTGAGATAATATCATTGTCAGTCTGTGCCTCTACTTTATTGACATGATACAACCAATTGTATATGAACTATGAATCAGCCAACTCTGATTGAACTGGAAATTCTATATTCTGATGTTATCAAGTCATTTAATGCTGTGACATCTGTATGCGTGTACGTGTGTATGGCCTACCGAAGCACCATCTTCTTACATAAATTTCAGTGTGGATATTTGCGTAGCATTTAAAGAATATTTTAGATGTTTTTGTAATTTCTAAGCCTTTTGAATATTTTTGGGATCTTGATAACTTGACTTCCTCTGGGTAAAACTTCAGATTTATTGTTACATATTTTATTCTTGACCATAGTCTTTATATGATGGTAATTTGTTGGGAGAGTTCTTTTTTTGTGTTTTAAGAGAGTAGAAAATGTATTTGGACTTGACCTTTTCATTCTAACATTGTCTGTATATCCATAATCATATCATGAGAATGCTGAAATGAAATGACCAGAAATACATTCCTCTAATTCACATGCCTCTTGAATACTCATATTTTATTTTTGACTGTAATAAGACTAGTCTCTCAGTTTTTGCCTATTTTCCTTATTTGGCAGGTTCCAAGCTTCATTTTCTATTATGCATATAGAAATTTGTTGTCAGTAATTTTGTTCTCACCCCTGGTAATGTACGGGAAAGTCTTAATCATGTTGACTTTTTGCTCTGTCAGCTTTGACAGTTTCTATACTGAAGTCTGTCATCTCTAATGCTCAATTACTATAGAAAATAGCATAATTGCTCTAGATGGAACACATTTATGGTTTTACTACTACCTGATAAATCATAAGTTTGTTGTTAATGCTGCTTATCCACATTTTTGCTCATCACTATTTGATTTCTGTTCCAATTTCCCTTCTTGATATTTCAGTTTCTCCTCAAATTCCCATCTACAGTCTTCCTTCACAAGCTGGAGTATGGATTCCTTTACCTTCCTTTCTTTTTGCCAAAAGGATCATCATCTACTTGATTTGTATGATACTTTCTAATTTTCTTAGTAATATAATTGTTTTGCAGGTTTACCTCCCCTGTCAGGGTGTGTAAGTTCTTCAACTACAGTTTCTGTTTTTTTGTTTTTCTCCTTTAACATCTCACATATCGTTTACCTCTGGAGCACTTTTCTTCACTGATGCTTAATAAAGTCCTGCAACATTTTCCCTAGAAAGTATTCTCAAAATCGAACAAGACCTTTGGGGAAATAAAGGAGAGGAAGAGAGTGATTGACAGATTTTGAATTCATGGTTTCCTTCTTATCATATTATAATCAAGCAGTTCTTTGCCTTCTATTTCCTATAAGTGTCCTCTACTGTGTTTGTTTTGCCTTTTATGTGTGTACTACTTGTGTGTAGTTTAAGCATGTCCTGCCCTTTTTTCAGAATTCTGTTTCTTCTTCATCTTATAATTGCATTTTTTTTCCACTTTGCATCTTTTAGTAATTTTCAGATATCTCCCTTTATTTCAACCTTTCTTTTTCCCCAAAGGTGATGAGTCAGCTTGGAGAATTGGTGGCAGTGGATGCAACTTAGCATTCAATTCCTTTTGGCATTTAACTTTACCGTTGATTTCAGTGCTTAATTCTTAATTGTTTTAGTAAATATATATTCATGGTAAGGAGATTTTTTCACATTTTGTTTATTATTATATACCAGTAGTGGTATTAGAGCTTGAAAATAGTAATATTTAGGGTGATTTTGTTTGTAACTTTCTCTGGTAAATAGAAATGTCATGATGTGATGATGACAATATGGGAAGCATTGCCTTAAACAGAATTGTTAATGCTTGCAGATTTGAAAATCTGTCAAATTAGCTATGAAAGGAAAGCATACACTTGTTAACTTTTTGGTTAAATAGTTGCTCTAAGTCTAGATTCTAGACCAAGGTTGATAGACTGTAAAAGGTTCAGATATTAAATATTTCATCTTTATTGGCCATATTAGTTCTATTGCAACTGAATTCTGCCATTGTTGTATGAAAACAGTAGAAAATATGTGAATGAATGAGAATGACTGTGTTCCAGTAAAACTTTAGTTATTGACACTTAAGTTTGAATTTCATGAAATTTTTACATAACACAAAATATTATTCTTTTAATTTTTTCCCACCATTTGGAAATGTAAAATCCATCTTTAGCTTTCATGCCAAACAAAAGAACTCATCTGTCTAGTAGGCTTTTGTTTGCCTACCCCTGTTCTAGAGGATGGCTAGATAAATTTTCTTTAAGTTAAAATATAGTTGATATACAACATTATATTAGCTTCAGGTATATACATTATGAAATGATCACCATGATAAGCTAGTAACATCGGTCACTATACACAGTTATTACAGTATTACTGACTGTATTCTCTATGCTATGTATTATTTCCTTATGACTTCCTTATTTCATGACTGGACATTTGAGCCTCTTAATCTCCTTGATCTATTCGCCCAGTCTCCTACTCTTCTTCCTGGTAACCACTGGTTTGTTCTCTGTGTCTATGAGTCTGTTGATTTGTTTTGTTTTTTTAGTTTCCATGTGTAAGTGAAATCACATGTTACTTGTCTAGATTAAATTTACTTTTAATTGGCCCTTTAACCTCTCAGTGTAGAATACCTAAGGATCTAATAATAGTGAAGTACAAGTAGTTATTATTCTTTAATGTATACCCAGCACCATATGAAGTTCTTTGCCTGCATTATTTTAATCTTCACAATAACCCTATGAGGTATGTAGCCACACATGTTACCTCTACTTTACAGATGAGGAAACCGAGCATAGAAAATTTATGTTGCTTGATTGTGGATGTTGTGTTCTTATCCTTGTGTCTTCTGCTTCATTCTTGTAAATGAAGCTGTAAATTCTCACTGCCCTTATTCCAAGGATTTCTGGGTCTTTTCTGAAATCTGTAAGCCTCCCTGAAATCACACATTTGCATTTATTGCTGCTTAGAGCCAAATTCTTTCCTTAACATATTTAGCAGTGGATGTTTTATTTCACAGCTAATTAAAAGGGAGACTGTGTCCCTTTATTATTTAATAATAATATTATTTTCATATAATTTACTTAAGTGCCAATAGTTTATTTTTACAACTAAAATACTGTGTGATTGTTTAGGTCTGTAGGCTTGAGTGAATTTGGTGTCCCTATATGTGTTACTTTCAGCAGAAGCAAATTACAGGTGAGGCATGCCAGGTTTGGATAGGAATCCTGATGAGAATTTGGCTACCTTCATCTTAATGCTGTTCTTGCAGCTCTAGGCCTGAATATATGGAACTACCGTGGGATAAGATGCTGCTGTCCTGGAGAACCTTAGGGAATGGCTTCTGAGGCCATTCCTGTATACAGGAACACAGAGCCAGTTTTCAGTGAAAATACCTAATAACTTCTAGATGCTTTGATATAATTTACATAAGTGCCAATAATTTGACATGAAGGTGGTAACTACATGTAGTTAAAATTCGCACTTGTTCAATTCTGTGCTTAGGTGGTTAAAAAGCACTCTCTCCTAGGACAAAGAGGTATGAACAGTTATGACAGGGTAAGAATACCATTTGGTTCTCTACCTCTTGGACCAGTTTATTTCAAAGAAACTGGAAAAAACGTTGTCCCATAAACTATACTATACCATAAACTATACTGCTAATCTTACTAATATGAGTACTTTTAGGAATGTCTGTATAAGTGCTTGGAATTGGTTTAAATAGTGGTAAATAGTGGATTTTTGTTGTTGTTGTTATTATGAATGAGTATTAATTATATTAATACTATGAGTATTAATGTAGAGGTTTTTGTATGGACATATGTTTTAATTTCTCCTGAGTGTATAGCATATACATATCATATGGCAGTTATGTTTAACCATTTAGGAAGCTGCTGGATTGCTTTCCAAAGCAGCCATTCCACTTTACATTCTCATCAGTTGTGTATGGGGGTTCTAGTTTCTCTACATATTCACTGACACTTACTATTATCTGTCATCTGATTTTAACCCTCCTGGTGGATATGAAGTGGTGTCTCATTGTGGTTTAGCATGTCTCTGATGGTTAATAATAATAATAATTATTATTGATAATAATTGATAATAATAATAAAAGTACTATAATAATAATATTGAACAATTTTCATGTTCTTATTGGCCATTTGTATGTCTTCTCTGTGTAAATGTCTATTCAGATCCTTTACTCATTTTTATTTTACTTTTTATTTTATTCTATTTTTCCCATTTATTTTTATTAGTTGGAGGCTAATTACTTTACAATATTGTAGTGGTTTTTGTCATCCATTGACATGAATCAGCCATGAATAGTGGACCTTTGTACCCTTTTGTGTACTACCTTTCTGAGAGGCAAAGGTCTAAGTAATTTTTCCATGCTGTACTTTTTTTTTTTATGCTGTACTTATAAAGAACTATTTTGCCTCTGAATTAAAAGGTATTTTAAGTAAATATTTGACGCTTCAGAGTGAGAGTCAAATTCTTTCACTTCGGATTATTGTCCTTTGGGTGGTATAGAGAAGCCCAGAGAGTTTGCATTTGCTTGTGCCTCATATAGTAGTAGGATACTTTTACTTTCAGCCTGTGTGCTAGCTGAAACTGTACTTGTAGCTTCATTATCTTGTGTTTCAATGAGAAGACACATTATTTCTCGTTCTGAAAAATTGAGACTGTTGAATTTTACTTAATCATTTCAAGATGAATGACTCCTTCATGTAAAAGTCTCTATTTCTGAAACGTAAGGATATTGTTTTTAATTAACCTTAAAAAACAATTTGTTCCATACTGTGTTTTGGAAGTTGTGAACATAAATGAGTTTTCTCATAGGCATTAAGACTTTCAACTCTTT